GTCTGAGTCCTAGTCCACGTTTATTCTACTTTATTAGTATGGCTACCTGAGGATTGCTAGAAACTTCTCTCCAAGCTGACCTATTGATCAGAACTCCAAACACATTACCTCTCTTCCCCACCCACCCTCACCATCCAACCTCCATGGGTTAACTTCTTCCTTCAGCCCAAGGCCCCCGTCTGCCCACCTCCCCTCTGCTCAAAGCTCAGCTAAACCAGGTACCCAGCAAGCAGGACGATGTCTAGTTTTATTCACCATCATTTCTCCATCACCTACACACTGACAGGAGAGCAGGGCCTCAGTCAGTCAGCTTTAAAAGAGTGGATGAAGAATAAATTAATGAAGAAATACACTATTGCAGTGTCTCCTGCGTTATGTTTTTTCTGCCTCCTCACCTGGTTTCCATCACAGCTTAGCTGACCTCGGTCCATATGCTAGTCCATAATAAGGTATTAACGACTGCCACATGATACTGTCACCACCCCTCTCGGGGAACATTTTCATATTTTCTAAGGCTTCCAAGGGGCAAGGTCTTAACCTAAAGAAATTGCTCTAATGGCATAACGTTAGGCGCTGTGGCACTTCTGGGGACTTGGTGACCACTCAGCCTGCACTGCCGAGGCGAAACTGCTACAGGTCCTCAGGTCCCCCTCTCCAAAATTGTGAAAAAGGATCAAATGCCAGTTACTCTTAGTACGTCCTACACATCACTGATTCCAATTGTCTTGGTGTATACACTCAAACACCGTTGTCTGTAAGACTAATAGAGCATAGTTATTCTCTCACAGAAGGTAGAATTTGAATCTGAGAGGGCCACACAGACACTCTCGTCCCCGTCAGGGTTAAGTCTAATGAAAGCCCCTGTGATTTTCTTAATTTCTCGTTTCCATTCCCTGCATAGGTTTTCAATAGATTTGAAGTTGCCATGAATTTCTTAACTACTGTTCAAAAGCAAAACAGAAAAAAAAATTAAAACAAAAACCAGCATATCCACTGTTGTGAAGAAAATAGAACCAAGCTCTTATTTTCCATCACGGTAGTTACCAAAAGTGCCGATCAGTATCTAGGTTCCTCCCAAATTCATTTTTTCCATGATAATAGTGTCAATGTGCTGCTTGGGATCATGGTAACATTCCTAGAGTAACTTAAAAAGGGAGGCGCCGTGTGGTAAATGGGGACAGGATCGAAGAATATAATAAGTCAGCTTGGTAAGCAGCACAGATGGGTCTTACACTAAGTCCCACTGATCCAGCTTGGGGGAAATCAATCAAAACTAAGCCCTCACATTCTACCTGGGAGGAAAAGGTGACACTGAAGAGCAAGCCCACACTTGTGGAGACGGTACAAAATCAGCAGGAACTCACTCTGTCGGCCTAGGAGGTGTTTGGATAGGCAGCTTTTTACAGAAAAATGTTTGGAGCCAGGACATGTGGTTTTCCCATTTTAATGGCAATACTCACAGGTAACTCCCTCTTTTCTTATTACTTGCATTAGCTAATTGGTTGCATTGCTAGAGTTTTTAAGATGTTTATTTAGCAACTAATGTTAATGCTATAATAGATATTGCTGTCGAATGACAGTAATGAGAAAGTTACTCAAAGTAATGAGGAAAGGAATTATGCATTGAGCCCTTGGTCTTTAATTTTTTTCTTGGATACCTATTACTAAAATAAAGAAAACACCAAAGTCAATTAAAATAGAGAAAGATAAAACTTATTTGTATATGTTTTCATGGAAATAATTTTCTATTAGATATTTCATTAATTATGACTTTAAGTAAAGTGAGAATTATAGCAAAAGTCACTTCAATAGTCTATGACATTTATATTAAACATAAAGCCTATGTCCTTCTTATCCATTAACATAATTTATTCTGATGAAAATATGGAATATACCAAATAGTAGAAATTTTCCCTATCATGATTATTTTTGAAAGACAACCTTATCATGGAATCAGATACTGAACTAAAAGAATTTTAGAAAAATGAAATGAAGTGATAGTTTTTAGTAAATTAAATAAATTGACCTCACATAAGCAAAATGACAGTAAACTTCAAGTAATCCACCTCATACTAAATACTTGGATATAAATAACCAATTCATTGTCAGCTAAAATACCCAATAAAGAAGACTGAATGACATAGGTAATCCCATAAACATTGCCTAATCCTTTCATCTGGATTGACAGCACAGCTTGTTTTTGCCCAGCCAAATAGCCAATAAAATGATTCAATTTTTTGGGCTGGCCGAGTGGCTCAGTTGGTTAAGAGCTCACTCAAGAGTTTGAGCTCTGAGCAACAGCGGTTCAATTTCCAGCCTGAGCTGAGCAGCCGCAAGCTGCCAACAGGTGGCAGGATGGCTCAGCTTAAAAAAAAAAAAGTTTCGGGCCGGCCAAGTGGCGCGATGGTTAAGAACTGGCTTGGGACGCCAGAGGGCCCCGGTTCGGATCCCACATTTGAGGGCCAGTGACACCGCCCTTCACAGCTAAGATGCTGAACAACAGCTCAACCTGGAGCTGGGCTGCCATGAGTCGCCTGCGACGGCGTAGGCTGCAGCCCCTGTGGCAGTGGGTTGCCATGGGCTACCGTGTGTAGCCAGCAGCCAGTGTGAGCGGGCAGCAGCCGCAGTGAGCGGCCGTCCAGAAGCCGGCAACTGATCTGTCTCATCCGGGAAGAGGGCAATGATGGTGCCAACTTGGGCCAGTGAAGCAACGTTCTCCACAACTAGACTGAAGACCAAAACAACAGCAACTTGTCTGTTCCCCTTCCCCAATTCCCCAGCACTGTTCCCATCCCCCAAATTCTCCAATAAAAATCTTTAAAAAAAAAAAGTTTCAATTTATTTCCCACGTTTAGTTCCCCTGGGTTCATCAAATAAGTATGTCTGACTTTATTTTCCACTGGAGATGTCAATAAAGCTGATTTTAAACAACATAAAGACATAAATGAAAGCTTACCATTCTACTTTTAATCTCTAATTCTGCTCATTTTCTTCAAACTATTGGCCTTAACACAGGCTTCCTCTCCTCTTGTTTTTTGTTTTTTCCATGATGGTAAAATTTAAAACTAGCTCCTCTGTATAAAGGAAATACATAAGCAAATTATTGTTAATTGTTTTGTGAAATATAAATGTGTAACCTTTAGATATTATAAGACAAAGTACAGTAAGCAACAGTAAAGAAAGTACTACCACTTGCACTTATTTGCTGACCAAGAAGAAATGACAGGGTACTGGAACTTCGAAGGACAAAAATGTCCTATGTCAAGCCCTAATAATCTTAGGTGTGGACAATTTTAATATCTGGTCCAGCTGGTCGTCCTGTCCCTGGTTTCTGCTCACTTTTCTCTGTTACATATCTCTGTGACATTGATCTGTATGAAAATATGTTGGTCTTCCGTTTTTCTCCACTGCCTTCAGAAACTAAATAAACAAGCAGATAATAACCATTAAACAAAACAATAAAAATTGCGAATTTCCAGACCTTCTCCAATTTGGCTCTGTTGAATCTGTTTTACTTGGTTTTCCTACATAAATCCTTCATGCCAACTAGACTGCCAAACTCACCATCACCTCTAAACTTCTTACGCTTTTTCATGACAAGTTTTTAGAAATTCGGTTATTGTCACTTTCCTCTTTGTCAATCTGACCCATACTTGAAAACCTATATTAAATCCTATAAAGTCTTCCCAGCCCAGCCCAGCCTGAAGACATTGTCTGAAGAGACAAGTTTTCAAATTGTCACAAATCTCCAAAAATTTTTCTAATATGTTTACTGAAAAATACTTGCATATACATGGACCCGCACAGATCAAACCCTTGTTGTTCAAGGGTCAATTGCACTATTATTAAGCCCATTTTGTAGATGAAGAAACGGACACAGAAAGTGAATGGACCTGCTCACAGTCTCACTGAGATTCAGATCCAACATTATCAATAGAGGAGCCTTTTGATTAAATTTCAAAACACACAAACTTAGGCATAGAGTTAAATGGGAAAATAAGACATAGAATTTAAAATAAGACTATAAATGCACTAAAGTATCAAGTGGAAAGCAGAGTGTCAGATTAGATTTGAAAAACCTAGAAACCAGATTATAGATGTGCTCTGGAGTTTTGACTTCAATTTCTCTAAGCCTCAGTTTCTTTTGTGAAAGAGAACTAAGAATATTCGCCTTGAACAGACATATGATGTGGATGAAGGTGGGTGGGAATCATAAAGTGCTCTACACATGTCCATTTTTGTGACACTATCTGTTCACTTGAACTTCATTGGAAAACCGATGACCATCACTCTTTAAAAGTGTTATATTCCTTTTGGTTACTTCGATTAAATTAATTCTAATAATACTCTAATTAGATATCTTTCTTTGACTTGGAATCAGGAAAGTGAAGAAACTATAAGCCAAAGCTTGTTATGGGGTAGATTTCATGGTTTATACTGGGATCGTGGAAAGGAGGAAATGGGACCTTCCATTCCCCTTAGTCCTCCATGGTGTGAGTTGTCTTGACTGTCCACGTCTAAAAAATGTTGGTTTTAGGAATTGTGGAGTGTTACAAGCAAGGCAGAAGGCAAAAATCAGTGCTCCCAAATAGAATGGACTGAAATCTGCAGCCCAGGACAGGATACACAATACCTGATAATGGAGTCCCCAGGTAAATAATTTGTATCTAGCATTGCTACCAAGAGCAATCTTTTTCTCTTTTGTCATTTTTATGATAGTCAGTGTCACATATATGTCCGACAATGGTAGTTTGAGGCCACCACTATATTTGGCAAGTAATCTATTTTTAGGAGAATTCGAGTCTGCCATGACTACGCTTCTCTACACAATACACGCAGAATGATAGAATAGACTGTGGCTTCCTCAATAACTAGTCACATTTTGCTCCATTATCGTCCTAAACCTGAGTTCGTTCTGTACTTCCACAAGATTATATGTGAAAATTATTATTTCTTATCTGAATACATGTAATTTCAACCTGCTCTTTGTTGTTTATCAGGAATCTACTGTTAAGAAGATGTGGATGAATGCTCTTCAAATCCTTGCCAAAATGGTACCACTTGTGAGAACTTGCCCAGGAATTATACTTGCCATTGCCCATGTGATAATCAGTCTGGAACATTCTACAGAGGAAGGGACTATTCTGAGAGTCTCCTGGGCTGGTACCCGCCACCAGTGTCTAAACAATGCACCATGCATTCCTCACTTCCAAAATGGCCAGCATGGATTCCACTGCCTCTGTCCACCTGGCTATACTGGGTCACTGTGTGAAATTGTCACCACACTTTCTTTTGAAGGCAATGGCTTCCTGAAGGTCACAAGTGGCTCGGTAACAGCCATGGGCTCAGTTTGTAACTTAGCCCTCAGGTTTCAGACTGTTCAGCCAAGGGCACGCCAACTTTTCCAAGGTCACCAGGACACGTTTCTAATGCTGGAGTTGCTAAGTGGCCACATTCACTTAATAATTCAAGTCTGTGAGACATCACAGGGTGCTCCTGTCTATTTCCTGCAACACCAGTGATGGCGAGTGGCACTCAGTGGCGGACATGTTGGCAGAAACTGTGACCCTCACTCTACCGGACAACGCTTGTGTGGACCCATGCATCCCGACAGCCCCTTCTCCATCTGAGAGTCAGCGATCGGTATGTACTTTACGAAACTCCTTTCTGGGTGGTTTGCCAGTGGAAACGGCTGGCAGCAGTGTTACTGCGCTCAGCATCTATAACCCGCCATCCACATCTTCCTTTGTAGGCTGCCTCCAAGACATGCATATTGATGCGACTCGCATTACCCTGGAGAACATTTCATCTGGTTCATCATTCAACGTCAGGGCAGGCTGTGTGCGAAAGGGCTGGTGCAAAGGCCACCTTGTCACAACAGAGGATGCTGCAGCAACCTGTGGCTCAGCTACTGGTGTGACTGCCACAGGCCCTATGGAGGCCGGAACTGCCTGAGAGGTGAGCTGGGTGCCCAGGGCACTGCATCCCGGAGCAGCAACCAAACCGGCCAGCCTGCCTCTGCTGTTACAAGACAGATGACCCCTCAGCACGTCCGCAGTGGCTGCCTACTGATGAGAGGGACCAAGAGGCTAGTGATGGGCACTGATTAATTTTGAGTGGATTCGTAGGACACCTGGGTTTCACTCATACAGAGAAGTAAAAAATAAGCCGATAGCTCCTGTCCAAATGGGTTTTCATCCCAGTGTTTACAAAATGCTATTGCAATTTTACCATTTGTGTGTATCAGAAATGTATTGGAAATCTTATTTGAAAGAGGAAATAATCTTTTGGATTATTTAGAAACTAGTCAGTGCCAACTACTGGCACAATATCTAGGGCACAGTAGAGGCTTCGTAAAGGTTTACTTCCTGGTTCTCTTATCCATGAAATTCTTACATGCTCCAAAATCAGGCTTAAGTTTAGCATTTTTATAAACCACCATTTCCAAGGTATATTTTCCAGGGTTGCATTGGAGAAAACAGATATTGTACCTAGGTGTTTTAAGAGGGAAAAAAAATGAAGAAAAAAAGAAAATGTGGAAAGTAACAGTGAAACTTGGTAGATGCCATATAAACTAATTGATCTCATTTCCCTAGCCAATCACAGTTTGAAATGAATTTCAAAATTCTTAACTTCCAACATTGTTCCAAAGATTGCTGTTGATAGTGATCAATACATACCTGTTCCTTTTTTATTATTATTATCACGGATAGAAAATGTCTGAGAGGTAATTGCGACAGACGGCTTTGAAGTCCCGCTGTAATTTACCCCAAGATTTTAGAATAACCTGAAATAGGACAACATCTGGTAAATAGTCTTCTCTGCTTTATAAGAAGTAAAATTAAAACCAGTCTTAGCCTATAGCCGATTCCATGTACGAATGGCTAAGAATTATTAGAAATGATTCTCGGGTCTCCTTGCTGACCACAATATTCATTACAAATCAGGGACCTCTGTGACAATGAGGTATGGCATCTACCAGCTCTATGTAATATTTTACATGGAGTGGCAAGTTGTTTGGTGATTTCTTTTTAAAAGAGAAAAGGGGAAATTACGTTGAGGCAATGTTCACTTTTTGAAGAAAAATGTAATTGACCCAAGGCAATACCTTTACTACATATTCAAAATAACAAACAGATGTTGACTCATTTTGACCGGTTTCCAAAGGCAGTGACCCACAAAGTTAATACTGACCGTGGTGGTGCTGACTGTCCTGGTAATTAGATTCAAAAGATGCCACTCCAGTGGGTTTCTGGTTGTCTTTAGTTTATTTTTTCCAACTTAGAAAATCATGAAGGTTTAAACCAAGTTCCTGAATTGGTTACCCGTCCCCTCTCCCCCCAGTTTCCTTTTCCCCTACACTCCTGGAAAGAACTGTTTCACCCTCATGAAAACCCTCGGCTTCAAAAGACACCTCTGTAGGGAGGAAGCTCTATGACAGCTTCTCTTTCTGAAAGTCTTCGGTATAAGGTTAAGGAAAATTATATTTTTCATATCTCCTCTTAGGCATAAGGTGAAAATTTTCTGTATTTGCTGCTATCTGTGAGGAATGTTTGCTGGGTGTTTATCCCTATTATAAAAGATGCTTAGCGGCCCTCATGAGAACATGGCATCTTTCTGTCATTGCACATGGTGCATGCAAGAGGGGAGAGACATGCTAGAAAGTGCAGGCGGGCTCCACCCGGTCCAGATCTTAGCTCCCTGTTTCCTGACATTTCAATGCACAAGCGGGCTGGATAGAGGACGTCGTTGGCTGACTAAACATGGAAGACATAGGGACTGCCTCTATTTTAAAGTTGACCTTCTTCAAATAATCAAGTGTCTCAGTCACGGGAGTTCTGGAAAGTGTTTCTCAAATCTCATTTCCCAGGATTGTCTGTCAGGTTATCTCAGCACACCTTGTGTTAGCTGTTAGGAGAATACGGAGCTTCCAAAATATGTTCAGAAGCCATGTGTCGCTGACTTTTTGCCTTCTGGACAATATTTGATTTGCAGGTGATTCATATCATTTTTATCTTCAGTCCTGTATCTAGACTTTGAGAATCTTCTCCTCTTAGAGTTACAGTGTCTTAGATAGAAAAGAGGCTCACTCCAAGACTGAATTTTTTTATACTCTTGTGTCTGCCAAGTGTCGTGGCCCAAACGCTTGTTTACACACCTTCAGGAATGGAGACCTGATTCCATCCTGCCAGGAATTCTCTAACAGTTGTTTCCTCATATCGACTTAAAATACGATTACCTATAGCTTTCATTCATTGGCAGCATTGTAACTCTTGAAGACATGCTAGTATAAATCTTACGTCTCTTGTTGAGAGCACTTAAATATTTGAAGGAAAGTACCATCCAAGCCATCACTCCTATCCTGCTAAACATGCCCAGTTTCTTTAATGTTTTCTGTATGACGTAGTTTTCATACACATCATCAGCTGCTTGCTCACTTTGGAATAAATTTGCTGTCCTGGTTCCTAGACGCGCCTGAGGACGCAGAGTGACACAGGACTGTAACGTCCGTCATCCTAGATAATGTCCTTCTATTTTGCGGCCTAATGTTGTTACATTGATCTTTCAGCAGCCACACCCCACGACTGGCTGGCTCACTGAGCTGTTCTCACTCACAGGCCTGCAGTGTCTTGCTCCTTCCACCCTAAACCAATCAGGCCCACTCAGACCTGAGCGGCTCTCAGTTAGTCCTCATAAATTTCGCCTCGTAGTTCATCGATCATTAAAACTTCTCAAAATTATTTTTAATAATACTTGTCATCCCTCTTCGTGACATACCAGCAACTCAGATGAGCATCACCCCTGCCCCCAACAATCATCCCATGTTCACAGCCAAGACACATGTGGCCTTCAGGTGCCTCTCAAATCACTCAGCAAATCGCCGCTCTGACTGCTCGCTTGTGATTTCTGAAGAAGATGGGGTTGCCGGAAGAGTTGAGCTTCTGGGAAAAACGCCAATAGCTCTGTGTCCTGCCTGTCTTTTAATCAGGATCCGCAGACTGATGCTTCCGAGGATGACCAGCAGGGACCCGCTCCGGCTCTGACGTTGACGATTCTGTGCATATTCTCGCACCTCAGCAGCTTCACAAGCTGCATTCTCTTATGAAGCATTTTATCTTAAGTCAAAGTGCTGCCGTGTATTCAGTGACGCCAGCCTCTTCAAATGGGTTATTGCATCTAAGGGCGCACTATGAAAGCTCCCTGGAGTGGGTGGTCTCAAATACAGACCCAGAATGCAGTGTTCCTACATGAAATCAAGCCAGAATTCTGAAAAGGGGGCCCTTTGTGCAGGAGACCTTCACACACAGATGGTTGCTAAGCAAGTTTTACTGTCGTTCAGCTGAACGTTGGCCATCAGGCTTGCCTCTAGCCCTGGAAAGCAGCACGCAGAAGCTCCGTATCTGGCTAGAGCATAGCAGACGGCAAAACTCAATTCACGTTCTCCCAAATTAGGGGCAAACGTCCTTCTTAGCGATGGAAAAGTCCACTTAATATCTATGAAAATCAAGCCAGGTAAAGCTGAACTGTACCAGTCTTCACAAAACCTAGGATTCATTTCTGCTCCTACAGGGAAAACCCAAAGAGGAGATGTCCTCTACATTGGTGGCCTGCCTGACAGACAAAAGACTGACATGTATAGTGGCTTCTTCAAAAGCTGTATCCAAGATATAAGATTAAACAACCAAAACCTGGAATTCTTCCCAAATTCAACGAGCAACGCATCCCAGAATCCAATTCTTGTCAACGTGACCCAAGGTTGTCCTGGAGATGACATATGCAAGGTAGGATTACTCACCCCAGCTCTGTCCATAGTATATGCTAGAGTTTTATTTTATTAAATAGATAATTTATTATCGCATTCTCTCTCATTCCATATCTACTTCTATTTGTCTCTCTACCCCTTTCTCTTAAAAAAGTTGCCTTTGGTAGCAGTTTTATTCTATTTGTTAATCTGTAGATACACAAACTTTAAACTGTCAATACGTAGGACATTAGCCTCTAAAAATCACTGATATGCTATGGGGGCTTGCTTTCATGTTTCCGTACTTTTCTGCCAGTGCTTTTTATGCCTTTGGTTTCTTTTCCCCTCAGTCCAAGCCCTGTCACGCCACGCTCTGTGGGATCACTTGTCGTGCTCCTGCCCAGTGAACATGGCTGGGAATTGCCTGTGAGGGAGAGCAGTGGTGTGAACTCTGCCCGTGTCCCTCCCACGCCCGTGCCAATTGGTGCCTCAAGGATTTGAATGTAGGTAGAATTCAAGCTTATCATCCATCCAGTTAAGTTGGGCATCTGTTGTTCCAGGAGGCAACCCAGACAAAGACTACAGATAAAACCAGCTCACTAAAGAAACCTGGAGCCATTTCCTCTGACGTGAGCAGTAAAATACACCGAATGGGGGTGGTTTAATAACCCAGGTGGGACTCATAGGTTTCTGGGGGAGAGATGGAGGTCATAGGACCACCAAACCCTGGTCCTTGGTCATTTAAAGCCAGTTTCTGAGGAAAGAATGAACCAGGTGGTATTGGCTTTCCTTTTCTTGTAATTAGTAAGATAGAGTAAAGGCTAGCATACTGCCATCTGTCCGCTCTGGGGTGGCTCTCACCCCTCCATAGTTTGCAGCTTCCTCTTGTAGAGTAAGGATAAAACACCTGCTTTATAAGTAGAGGAAGTGTGTGTGTATGTGTGTGTGTGATGTCTGCATGTGCGTGCATGTGTGTGCATGTGTGTGCACGTGTGTATGTGTGTGTGTTTGTGTGCGCGCGCATGTGTGTATCTATGTGTGCATGTGTGTATCTGTGTGTGTGTGCGTGTGTGTGTAACTGACTTTTAACTGCCTACTGTTCAGCTTAATCAGAAGCCAGGATCACTGTCAGTTTACTGTGTCACCATAGCTACATACGTGATTTCTCTGTGCTCAGCTCCTTTATGTCTGAAATGGATAATCAGTGTTTTATTTGTGGGAGCAAATGTAAAATCAGTGGGGCATGTACTTGGATTTCAATGGAGAAGAAATGTATGGTGTAGGTTTTGACACCAGACCATCCAGGGCTGGCATTCTGGCTTGATTATCTGTTAGCCACATGACCACAAGAAAACTACTTAACTTCTGGGAGTCTCCGTTTCTCTTATAAAATGGGCATGATGATGATAATGCTAAGCCTGCATTCGGGAATTCTGTATCAGAAATCACATAAAAGCAACGAGCACAGTGCCCAGCCCAGAGCACTCAGTACACAATGACGGCTCCTGTTGCTAGAGGTAATTAAGCAGATATCGCAGACTCAGTGAAGGTGCTGACGGCACTGCTCTCTCTCCAGGTACCACAAATTCTTAATGGACTAAGCAGCGAGACGTTATTCAGGAGCAATGGGAAACTCAGCAGAGAACTCACCAATATCACCTTCGGTTTCAGGACGCGGGTTGCTGACATGACCATACTGTATGCAGAGAAGGTGCCTGAGTTTCTTGATATTGGCATTCGAGATTCCAGATTGTTATTTTAATTGTGAAGTGGCAACAGTTTCCACCTGCTGAGTCTGACGAGTATGCAGTTAGCAGATGATGCCATGTGGCACCAAGTGACTCTTTCCACTGTCCCAGGCCTCCAGGTGGCAGATGCAAGTGGACAATTAAACACTTTCTGTGACCAGTGCAGTGGCCACTGGAAGCCTCAGCTTCTTGCTGAAGAAGACAGACATTCACGTGGGCGACAGTGCAGCTTGCACAATAGAAATCGGTGGCATTTCTTTCTCCTACTTTGAAAATGTTTATGGTTTCATTAACACACCTCAGGAAGAGCAGTGTGTCAAAATTTCTGTAGATTTCTTGGCTCCTGGCTGCTTGCAGTTAGATGCCTGCAACTCCAACTCCTGTCTGCATGGAGGAACTTGTGAAGACACCTATGGCTCTTATCACTGCTCCTGTCCCCTGGGATGGTCCCGGCCACACTGTGGACTCAACTCTGCCGAATGCTTTTCAAACCCCTGTATCCATGGCAACTGGTCCCACAGAGCTGCCGCCTATCTCTGCAGGTGTGAGCCTGGGTACACCGGAGCCCACTGTGAAGTGGGTGTAGACAATAGCCAGGGTCACCAGTGTGCAAATGGGGCCAGCTGCGTCAGTGACACCAGGGGCAATTCTTGCCTCTGTTTTGGAAATTTCACAGGAAAATTTTGCAGGTGAGCATCATGTACGTATAAAGCTTGGTTTTGGGAGCTAAGCTCACCACTGTCCTTTCCAAACTGGAAAGCTGTCTCCTCAGGTAACACACAGGCCTTGCTGAACAGGACTAACATTGGTTACATACAGACAGAATCCCACCTGCTGGAATGGCTAGGGGGAAGTTGGCGGGGTTATGGCCAGACTTTAAGCAAAACGTTTTCTTAGTCACCTTCGTTAGAATATGTCTCATGACCTATAGCCCCAGAGTCTGACAGCTTGAAGGCCTCAGGAAACAAACACATTTCTAATAAATGCAAAAGCTGGATTTTAGTATTATTGCAGGAAGCCTGACTCCTATCCCTAAAATGATGCCCTGGGTGATTTCAGGCACGTAAATCTTGTAAAACCCTGAAAAGACTGTTAAAGTATAATTTCAAAGAGGTGAAATCATAACTCTCAGACAAATAAACACATTTTGATAGTTTTATCTGACTCATTAATTAATGAGGGAACAAGATAAAAACCAGTTCAGAGGACAATCTATATATACATATATATATATATATATATATATATATAATTATATACTTTTTATATCTATTGTATATTTATGCCATAAATATCTAAGTATTATATTATTGCCCATTTCAAAGTATTCTATAATTTTTTTCTAAAATTACAAAAGCAGCATTTTTACTTAAACTACAGAAGAAGTAATCACCTCCATTCCATGTTATAAAAACAGAAATAAAAATGAATATTTTCTTGTTAAGTCACATTACTTCAACATTTCCACATAAGTAGAATTCATTATTGAATTCTTATAACTTGTACTGCTTTTAAATTCACTAAACAATTGAGTCATGATGGGAGGCAAGGGGGGTATTATTAACAAGTAATAATATACTCAAACTTTGGCCAGAACACCTGGAGTCGTTGGCAACTTGTAGACATTACACTGGTTCAGAGGTGGTACCTTGATTTGATGAATCTCCTGGCAGATGTAACATGCAGCCACAGCCGTGAGAAGATGTATTATCTCCATAACATGTATTGTTGTTCAGAGCATGTGCAGGCAAAGTATGTGTTAGGGGCTAAGTGTTGACATTCCAGCAAAATGTCACTGCTCATGAGTTAACCGACTCATTTGCCAACTGGTAAAGTACCTGTTTAAAAGCAAAAGGTATTCAGGATCAAAATTATTAGTATTGCCACTGTGACTTTGGATAAGTAAAATAAACATATATGCCCCAGTCCCTAGTTCTCCAGTATTTTTTTCTGACTAATTCATCAAATTCAAGTTCTCAAAAATACCTCCTAATGAGATTCAAAATTTGTCTCTTAAACATAAGATGTATACAAAGCTTCATATTTGCATTGCTAATTGACCTCTTGCAAAGCTGGTTGTCTTTTTTGGCTCTTTTGAAAAGTTCTCATGATATTTTCTTTTTAAAGTGGAATTGATTAGTTCTTATGGGAAAAGACACACTTATCGTCATGTAGGCTAGTTTCTCCATATTAGGTGCAGCACACACAACAGGGCAAAATTCAATTCATCTTATATTTCATGAATATTAATTATGAATCAGATACCATGCATATGCACAGTGGATCAAAGGACCTGGACACCACCTTTCAAACTTTTTTAATCAGTCCCTTCACACCACTGGGTTTTGCCTTGCAATAAAGTTCTGCTTAGCTTCTAACAATATGTTCTGCCCTTTTTAAGGATTCCTTAATATACAGAGCTTTGTTGTTATACAAAAGAACCACGGTCTAAATTCACACGGAGTTACCACTGAGTGCTGCACCCAGCCTCCTGGACAGATTTGGCTAGCATCCTGCAAAGCTATGAATTGTTAGATAGGGAGCAGCAAGTGTTGGAGAGGCAACCGGAGTTCAGTTCCAAAAGCCAACAGAGAATCACATGAGTGCTGGGGTACCAGAGCACTGTCCTTGCCCTCCTGGCCTTTAGAAGAAACGCCGTTTTCCTGCGGTCCATGTTGATTTACGAGCAAAGCAGCAGCCCATCTAGTTCCAGTAAATGTCTTTCCAACCCTGACTTGACTGCCACCCATGGTGTAGAGCTTATCTCACCAATGAAAACTATGCAGAGATGGAAGATGTGCAGCCATGCTCGGCATGGCGCCCTCTAGCGCTTTACTGAGAAAGTGATTCTTGCGCAAGGTAGCACAATTAGCATTTGTAGTTCAGCCAGCTTGAGTGCTTAATTAGTTTGGCTCTGACTACGTATATGAACTTTCCCAAAAAGTGTTCTTAAATGAGAGGAACAAGACAAACAGCTGTGGCTGTTACTTTTATCTCTTCAGAGACACCAGATTACTTTCAACGGTCTGTGGGAATGAGACAAATCTCACTTGCTACAGTGGAGGGGACTGCGCCGAGTTCCAGGGTGAACTCAAATGCATGTTGCTAGCCAGGCTTCACTGGGGAATGGTGAGTCTCATTAGAGTTTTACAGGAGAGTTCCGTGTGATTCTACTTTTCCCAGAGAAAGCCTTCAACTCTCCTTCACCTAAGCAGGCATTGTTGATAAGGAGTTGTCCATGGCTTCAGACGATCTGTGACCTGCTGAAAATGGAGGCAAATTTGAGATGCGTTTATCAGGCTGAAGGTGAAGTCAGGATAGAAAGGCAACATATTCCATAGCTTTTATCAGACTCCCAAAGGGATCAGTGTCCCCAAAATGAGCATAAACTGGGGTTCTATATGACATAGATACTATGTAAATGGATAATAAATGGCCAACCATTTTTTGAACAGCATACCATGCACTCTACACTTGTTATCTTTAGTTGTCATTATTTCCATTTTGCATTTGTGTAACCTGAGGCTGAGAGGTCAAGTGACAGGTCAGGTGTGAGTCCTGACAGTCAGGTGGCGCTGCCTTCAGAGCCTCTGCTCACCTCCTGGATGTGCTAGCGACACGCATGAATCCATCTTTGCTTGCAACAATTGAAAGAAAACGGGAAAAGTGCTCCTCCATCTCATACACCATCAGGATCAGCTGTACTGGTCTCTGATAAAACTTCCTACAGTGAACAAATTAGAGAAATTAAAGTCAAATACATTTGACAAAGAGATTGGGCCAGAATGAATTTATCCCGAAAGGGCAGTTAATAAAATAATGGGTGTATTCGCACTCGGTGACACTTTGGATTAATTTCAATTTTGTTTCACCAGCTCTTTTGTCATCATGGAATGCAGCTTTTCGGCTATGTTGACAAAATAGCAGGAAATCTAGGACACACCTGCATTTTACCCTTTAACATTCAATGACTAGTCTAGTCCTTGCTTTCTGTGGTCATCTCAAAATGGCATGGGCAGTCCAATCAGGCATATGCATAGAACGATATATCCTTCAGTCATGCTGCACTTTTCACAGCACCAGTTTTCATCATGCAGCTACTTATTAGCTCAGGACCATTCAGTGACCTTCTGGTTCCATAGATCACCAAAATATCGCAAATATTTCCTTGCCCTAATTTCAGACACGTCTATATTTAAGTGCTGGTGACTTCTTACCTCAGTGTCCATTTCTGCTTAATGGCACAGTGCACAGAACTCGCCCAAAGCCTTGTATTATTTCTCTCTGCCACTCACACATTGTCCCTATTTACAATAAACACTTTCCTTTCCTCCAACATTTATTCATTAAAAAAAAACCATGTATCTGTCATTTGAAAAATTATTGATTTGAAACTCTGGAGGAGTTTTCAAAGTGTTCCTTGCTCCTCCAGGAATCTTTCTCTCTGGATAAATTTCTCTAAAGTAGTGAACACACGGTCAGTAGACTCTGTTCTGTCAAAGTCCTTAACCATCATCATTAGTTAATTCACTGCATGCTAACGGATTTCTTTATTTTGAATTTCCATCCATTAGCTGCTCATGAAAGCTCTAAAATGTTTCTGACAAATGTGTATGTGTGTGTGCACTGTTTGGTTCCAAAGAGATATAGATAAGAAATGGAGAAACAATAAGTAGTGGAAGACTTGAAAATGCTGGGGACGCTTTCAAGACCCTGGCCACGTGACTTTCATAATGCCCACAAATATTGAAAAGCAGACCTCTAACAAATTGCCTTCGCTTCTGTCTGGTTAAACCTACAATCTCACAGCATCATCCTGGCAGGTTGTGAATGATGGATGGTCTGAACATTCGGCCCCCCCAGCACAGAGTCTGCTTCTCAGGCTCCCTCCAGTTATCACATTGTGCTCAGATCTAATCAGAGAAGTCTCCTTCCAGCCCAGAAGCCCAAGCCAGAAAAGGAAAACAAAATGTCTTAGCTATACTCAGTAATCAACGGGATAAAGAGCTGTTTTTCTGGGACGACATCTCTCCTTCCTTTATGCCTTGGGTGGGCCCTGCTCCACCCACCACCAGCCCCTTCCATTTTGAACTGAGTGAGTAGTCGGTGACCCAGCATACAAGGCTTACCTTTTGGGGGGGGTGGGAGATTAAAAAAACGTTTACATCAGACTTCAACATCGTAAGCCGGCTCTGTAGAAGGAAGAGGAAACTTTCAAATTACCTTAGAATTGATACCACTTTTTTGGAAAATTTGGCTTTGGAAGTCATTTTACTGGAACATTCCAAAATTATGCTTAGCTACAAAACAGATTCGTTAGCAAGTGAAATCTTCTAATTATCTACTTTTGGTTTTTGTTAAAAAAAAAAAAGGGAGTCGGAGGGAAAATAATAAACGAACCTGTCTCAGAATAAACCCGATATTCTTTTTCTGTTTTCGATGGGCTTTTCCCTTAGGCTAAGGCACGATGGCTCTGAGTCCTGACAGCTTGAGGGTAGGTTAGCTCTCCAGACCTGGGTGGCAGCACACAGCCTCACCTCATGGCTCCTGTGTGTCCCCCAAAAACTGACACTAGTGCTCTTGGGGGAGAAATTGGTTTCTTCATGGCTCAGTTTTCTCTTGGTTTCTACATATTTACACCTGTTTTCTCATTTTAAGTGTGTGTGTGTGTGTGTGTGTGTGTGTGTGTATACTAATTATTTCCATTAAAACCAACATTCATTAAAGGACTTTTAAGGAATGTATCTATCTCCCCCATTAAGCATACATAAATTGTAGGGGGTTGCTGCGTTAAACTTGCACAGTTCTGGGAAGATGAGGCCACTTTTTTCTAGCTCCATTTCATAGCCAATCTATTCAACAGGGAGAGGGGTTTCCGCTGTGTCTGTTTCTTTGTAAGGTGTGAAAGGGCCATGGATGAGTGCGCCTCGGATCCGTGCTTCAACCGCAGCTTGTGTCAGGACCTGCTCAATGGATTCCCGTGCACCATGAGGTCACCTTTGTGGAAAGGCGCTGCGGGGCAGATGTAAACGGCCTGTCCTTCCAGGTCTGACTCTTCCTCTGCCAGAGCCTCTAGCAGCTTCTCTCTCACCTCATCCTGCAACTAAAAGACAGGGCCGGTGGTGGGGCGGGGCCAGCAGGAAGATTCTTAACGTCCACTGGAACACCCCCAAACCTGAAAGCCATTGAATTTCAAGCTAGGCCTTCACTCATGTCAGGCCTCCAACAAAAACAAAAAACAAAAACTTGAAAACTAAAATAAATTCAAGGACGATTTTAAGCATATCACAAGCACTTTATGAGTATATCGAATATTCATCTATTCTAGTTTTAAATGGAAAAAAAAAGTTTTTCTTACTACAATATAACCAGAAACATCTCATTATTGACTGTATTTAGAACTATATTGTCATACTTCACGCTTCCATATTAGAATGACCACAGCAAGAAGAAACCATTTTCTCCCCATTCCATTTTCCTGTGTTGTTTATAATGTGAGTTGCCCACATTCACCTTAATTCTAAGTCATTCATGTTCTTTGATTCCCATTTATTCACCACATGACAATTTGAAAGTTACTGAGTAAACTGTTTATACATCCACCCATGTTTTACACATAGTTTTTCATATGAACTGTTGCCAGTTCTCTGGTCAGTTAAAAAATATACAAAGAGAAAGCAAAAAATGACATGAAGTCCCTAAAAATGCAAAAGAAAATGTTCTGATATAATTGGTATCAATACTCAAATTATGCCCCATCAGTATAATTTGTGATTTCATAAAACCTTCTCTCCTGCCATACAATGCCAGATAAACCCTTTCTCCATTTCTTTTTCCTACAATACCTTCTATACAAATAGAATAACTTACATTAATTGCTTATGAATTGATGAGCTTATTGACATTTCCATCAAATGGACTAATTTCAATCACTTTTCAATGCATAGTTGATACAAAGTTAAGTGCTATTATATATGGACATACCAAGAGATATATATTATAAAACATGAATTTCTTGGAGGCATATTTTTCTAAAATTTGAAAGTAAATTCATCCTCTTCAACTATCTTTCTGAAAAAAAGAAATTCTATTATAACCAAAATATATTTGGCACTATAAAATTTTTAAACAAATACCTGAAATGATGGATCTACAAGTTAATAGGAAATGCAAAAATTAATATATTCTTGCATAGCTTTAAGAGAGTATATAAAATAGTAACTAGAAAATAATTTTATTTGCTAATATTTCCATTGCTTCCATGGGCATGTTATCATTTATGCTAAATATCATTGTGTGGATACAGCCTTCTAAAGGAGACATTATTTCTGTTCATTTGAAGGGAAAATAATTTGGTCCTATAAATTAATTTAGAAAGCAACTCCAATAACAACAGCCTGCCAAATATCATTTTGTAACTGTGTTTATGTCCTTAGGAGCTGTCCTGGTTTGAAAATGTGAGAGTAATTTATTTATTGGGTGATATCCAATACTCATTTAGTCCCAACTGTTTTTAAGAAAGTTGTTTTTCTTTGGAAATGACCAAGGCAAACCTAAAGATAACATTCAAACCCAAAGGACAAAACGATGTACTATAAAAGCAATGGGAATATATTCCATTTTACTTTTCAAGAGTACGAGAAGATTTTATGCAGTGGATTCCTATCCCGTGGAGTGCTGGCAGTCACTTTCAACTGGGAGCGACTAATTTTGGAGTCTTCCCTGTATATTCCCCCACTTGCGTCACACCCAGGCAGTATGTGCCATACTGCTATCTCAGATGTGCTGTTCCAAAGTCAGATTTTGTGACAGAGACGTGGGGTAAACCTCCCCATCAATGTTTGCATTCCCAAATATTTGAAGTAAGCACAAACTGGACTCTAGCCAAAGAGCACATGCAGAGTTTCTACATTTGCTCCCTTCTGGACATACCTGTAATTATACCCTCACAGGCCATTCCAAAGGTCCCCTTCCAAATACATCGAAGAGCCACGCATAGTCTCTTCCTCTGTAAAGTTCTGGTGCCCCTGTCGTCACTGTCATTGCCGATGGCTTTTGTGTTTTCCAAATGTTTTGTCACGAAATATCTGGCTCGAAACAAAAATGCTGTCCCTTCGTCTTTATTCTTCTGTATTTTCAGTTGCATTGTGTGTGACAATGGCTTTTACACATTTGCACTGAAAAACAAAACCTTTTTGTTTCTGTATCTCTAGACTTCTCATCCTCTGATAACTGTCTTCATTTGCCCTGTGTCTTACATGATAAGATGTTCACAAGCCAGACATGACCTCTCTCTCTCTCCCTCTCTCTCTCTCTCTCTCNCACACACACACACACACACATGCACATATCACATCACATCACATAATGAACCCAGAAGCACCAGTGCTAATCTTCCTGAATTGTGGTCTCTCCTGATGTGACACTACAAGTAAACACCTGTGGCTCTCCAGGTCACGGCCTCCTGTCCTTTCCTTCTCTGGCAAACATCCCTCTAGTTGGCATTCCAGAATTGATTATATGCCTAAATGCTCTTCCTAAGGTTTACACTGCCCCAGCCCAAGCTAGCCACACTTTAACCTGTCCCCAAGGAGGGCCATCTCACCTAAATGATAGAAATTCACACAAATGCCTCTAGACCAAGCTTCTGAAACATAACTTGTATTTAGTTCAATAAAAAACAATCACTTTGTCTATCCCTGGCCCACTTGCCTACCATCTGAAAGGCATCATTACCTTCCAGAGCAAGGATGGGCTGGAACTTACTGCTTGTCACGTGCTTCACACGCAGATCCAAGCTTTCCTGAGCAAATCTTCAGGGCTGCCTCGCTCCAGTCAGTCAGTTCAGGCAAGGTCTGCGAGGCCATCGCCATTAAATATATATATATATATATATATATATATATATATATATATATATATATATATATAAATAATACATTTGAGAAAGTTCATATGAGCGGTGCTTTTGTTTCTTAAATCGTATGGTCGAATAATGATGTCAGAAATACACTGCATTGTAAAATGTAAATGTTAGCCATCATCAAGAATGGTTTGGAAAACCAAACAGGAACTCTTCCAATTCTGCCCTAAAACGTCAATGCCTATGGCTGGTTGTCACATCTCTACAGGGAGGTGACACCGCAGAGATGACAGCAAGGAAGGGTGACTAGAGTAATAGAACATTGGGGATTTGAGGAGTGGGCAGACACATCTAATAACAAAGTTACTCTTTGGCTGAATGAAGAGTCAGAACATTCGTGTCAATTACCAGATGGCCTGATTGGCCTGTTCAGAAAGTTCCAGAATCCCAGGGTGGGAAGCATTTTCTGAGACATAGTAAGTCTAGCAGATGATGGAGAACTCTCTTTCACACGCATAAACGTATAGAGTTCATTAAATAGAGAGAGTAAAGCATAACATAAAAACAAATGGAGCAGAGACGTGGAGTCATCTGTGAATGACAGAGTCACAATGGTTTCTGAGGGTCGCGCTTAACCCCAGAGGCTGATGTCAGGGCTGATGCCCAATGGCCCACGTCTTCGGGCCCCTGTGAAGGACAGAGCACTGGCCAGCGGCGCAGGAATCGTCCTCCGTATGGCAAACGCTGTGTACTCTCAATTCAGCCTTCAGGAACGAGGCGTCCAGAGCGACAGTTCCTTCAAATTACAGTTTTGAAAAGCGCTGTCACTGATCACTGTGTTCCCACTAATTAGCATTCGGGGGGAGTAAATATAGCACTAGCATAAGAAACGGCTCTTAAATGTTACTCAGTCACTGAAATCAGGTCTGATTCAGTTCACAAATCTGCTTTCCTTTCATCGTTTCACATATTATTAAGATTTCTGCTTCACCAAGTATAATTAATGCTCTTCATTTTTTTTAATGTGAGGTCACCGCCCCCCGGCTTCACAGAAATCACATGACATGGGCTTTCACCTCAGAACCCTTTTCCTCATGTGTCTCGAATAGAAGGGAATCGAGCACTAGAGAGAGGGCTGCTGGGCGGCAGGTGTTTCTGAATTGGCTGGCCACAAACAGCTGTGAGGAATAACCAGGTCACTGGCTTGCCTAGCTAACCAAATGAAACAGCGTTTTAGTTACCCGTCAACTTAATCTCATCATCTTTCAGAATCTCCCTGAAGGTGATCATTGCTGTGCTACAATATTGGAAATTTTGTGGAAACTGGTATTTAGGTTCGTGTATCCATCGGTCCGACCATTTATTGAGGTTCTGCTCTAGGCAAGACTCTGAGCCATGCATGGTGAGCGATTAAGATATACACAAAGGATAAAGAGCTTGGGTAAAAGAACTAGGTGACTTCCAATGTTTGGCCCCACCCAAAGCTTTCCCCATTGTGTAAATCATGAGGATATTTGAAATGTGCCTATAATGATGTATGTTGGTTATGACAAGGATGACCACATTATTTATTGTCCAGTGGGAGTGCTTTGAGAGTGGGAGGGAGTGCTGTAGATAATTATGCTGGGACAACAGCCTAAACTGGGCAAACGGAGATAAATCCTAGTTACTAGACCCACTCCCTGGAGAATTCATTGCGTGGCACTGGACACACTTCATTCTCTTCAAAATGAAGTTGAAGCCTATCACAGATCATTTCAGAAATTAGGTCTACATGTTCCAAACCAAGGAGTAGACCAAATGACTCAAAGCAAACAATAAAGTTGCTTGCATTTTGTTAATTCCCAATTTCTTGAATTATTTCCCTTGTTTTTTTTTTACTCAAAAGCACTTTGGGCATCAGTTCCCATTAGTAAAAGTAGAGTTGTGATCAACCAACTGAAAGCTGCTAGTATGCAACTGAATAGCATGCTGTTGTCTAGCTTAACATGCTGTTGTCTAGCTTAACATGGCATGAATTTAATTCCTCCTATTTTTTGAAATTCTGGAGAAGAATGGAGTCTATAGATTTTTATAGAATATGGATTTCCTTCCTGAGTGACTGATATTGCCTTTAGGTAATGAGGCTACAGCTCATGGAATCCACTGCAGATCTTTTTTGTGGGA